TTTAACTTTTAATTTAACAAGATGATAATAAATAATAGTTAAATAATAAATTTTAAAAATTATCAAATCAGTTGATAGAGAAATATTTTTTTTTCTATTAAAATTTCATAAAATATATTTAATTTTTGTTACATCTTTCTAAATAAATATTTTCATAAAATATATTTAATAAATTAATTAATCATAAATAATTATTTTAAATATATTTTAATATTTTATTTTTAAAAATAATTTTAAATTTAATATTATAATATATAATTATTTATTTTTATTAAAATTAAATTAATACAATAATATAAATAATTATTATTTATTTTATTAAATATAAAAATTTAATTTAATGATATATAATAATTATTTATTTAAATATAAATTTAATTATATTTTTATATAATTTATTTTTTATTATTTATTATTTATTATTAATTAAAAATATAATTATATAATTTTATCATATAAATAAAATAACTGTTATTAATATATAATTATTTAAAAATAATAAAAAAATTATTATTATATTATTATTATCTGATCAATATCATTATCATATATTAATTATTTATTATTTAAATTTATTTAAAAAGAGTTTAAGCAAAAACATTAAAAATTTAATTGTTTTATATAAAAAAAATATAACTTATAGGCATATATATTTACTCTCTTTACATACATATATATATTTCTAAAATTATTTTTTAAAACACTTATAATAATCTACGGTACAAGTACTAGGCAAGTCCCCATTTATTTAAGAATTTATTATTTAAAAATCAAATATCAAAAAAATGGAATTTATAAAATAACGGGAAAAGAAAAAACGAAGAACGTTAAACGGCGTCGTGTGGTGCGTTCGGTGCAAGGAGAGATGACGAGACAAATGTAAACTTAAAGGGGCCCACAAGCTTCATCTCATTCATTTTGTTTTGTCGTTAATGTACATTTTTTCCTATTTTTTTTTCCTTTTTATTTTTATATTTTTTACTTCTTTTCTTATTTTTTCACTCTTCAACAGAACAATTTTTTAATTATTTTTTCATATATAAATTTCTTGTATATTAAAAAAATTATTTAAAAACATTTTTTGAGTTTTAAAAATTTACTCGAATTGTCAGATATCATCTAATAATATATTAATATGTAATAATTATTTAATATAAAGATATGTAATTTGGATGACATTTTTATTTATTTTTATTTATTATGATTAAAAATATTTTTTAAATACACATGTTAAAAGATATTATTTATATTACATATTTCTTTAGTATTTTTTATATATCATATTTTTAATAATGAATTATTATATATTCTTTCTAGCAGTCTAAGCTTTGGGAAAAGGATTAGACAAATCCATGTCACCTTGCGTGCTCCGTCTCTGTGACTCTGTCTGTTTGCGTGTCATGTCTTTTTTTCTTTTCTTTTCTCATGAGTGTCTAAATATGCATGTAATAATTGAAATATATTTAAGAGAAGCTACAGTTCTAAAGTTGAGTGTGTGTGAGTGACTGCTTTTTTGAGCGGGTTGGATAGATTCTTGAGCTCACCACTTACTCCACAGCTCTCACTCGATCCTTAACTTGCTTCTCTCTCCTCTCTCTCTCTCTCTCTCTCTCATGCTTATGCACTTTCCAGGTAACCAAACAGACATGAATCTGGTTTCAATTCACTCTTTTCTCCCAACAACTTGAATATCTCCTCTGGGATTTTGGGTTTTCTTCACCTCCACACCTTAATTACACCGCTCGATTCTTCTTTCTTTACCTATTTAATCTTGTTTTTACTGGGTATTCCATTTCAGTCTCATTCTCAACTCATTTTTTCTACTTGCTTTTTTTGAGACTTTGTGAACTTATTGTAAGAAACTTAGTCTGTTCCTTGAGTTTTACCTTCGGGAAGACTGAAGCAATTAGAAGAAAAAGATATGGGTTGGTTTTGGGTGACAGTGGGGTTATTATCAATGGTGTGTACAGTGAGCGGCATAGGAGCAAACTGGGGCACACAGGCAACTCACCCTCTGCCTCCCGAAACAGTGGTGAGGCTGTTGAGGGAAAATGGGTTTCAAAAGGCGAAGCTTTTCGATGCAGAATATGATACTCTCAGGGCTCTGAGCAAGTCTGGGATTGAGGTCATGGTGGGTATTCCTAATGATATGCTTGCTTCTATTGCTGGCAGCATGAAGGCTGCTGAGAAATGGGTTGCTAAAAATGTCTCTGCTCATATCACCAACAATAATGTCAACATCAGGTTAGTCATCATCTTTAAATTTTCAATTTTTACTCTTTATGCATATATATAATATTTCAGTTCAATTGGTTGAAACACTATGAATTATTCACTTAATGAAGGGGCCCCCTCCCCGCCCCTGTTGTTATTTAGCTTGGAATATAAATTGGGTGATTGTTTTATGAATGTTTCAGCTTGTGAAGTGAGTAATAGACTCTGTTCAAATCGGTTGCCTCAGATACAAGATCTATTAGCATTGCTATGTCTAGCTATTGGCATATGTGGTGGGAGAAATTAGGCGGACTCCACATTTGGAACTTTTTGTTGTGTCTAGAATAAGTTATGATAACTATTGTACACTGAGGGCTTTTATTTCTTTTTCTCTTCTGCTACTTCTTTTTGGCTTAAGTAAAATTTTAATATGCTAGTTTTTATGTGGAAAATAAATATGCTTTAGTATAAATATCATGCTTCTTGGCTCACACGTTTATAGTACTTGACCTTGATGTAAAGTTGGTATTTTTTTCAGTTGCCATGGGAATCAAGTATGAGATAGTTAACTTGGATTGCTTTGAAATTTTAGCTTAGGTTTTGTTACCATTTTTTGGTATATCCTCATAGAGCACTGCTATTCTTCTTCACTTTGTGGTCAGGTTTATTATTTGATGTAAATGTGATCTACAATCGTGAACTTACAGCTCTATAATACATCCAGTTGGAAAGTTATGGGAGTTGTTTTATTATGTCAACCTGTCGCCTATCTCACTCCCTTTCTTCTTCTTAGTTGCCCCTTTCTCTAATAAGGTGAGCTTCCATAGGTCCTTCCCCTTATATAGGGTGAGCCTTCGCTTTTTGGATCGTCTTCTTCCCAATGTGGTACCCTCCGAGTCCCCCAGCCCTCACCAGCATTCCGTCTTTTTGACCCAAAAAGAATTGAAAAATCTATCTTTTTTCTTCTGATATTGCTTTTGACCCTTATTCTGTCTTATGTCAGAATTTCAATAAAGCCAGAATAATGGGCGTTCTAAAGCGTATTAAAGCGATATTTTTTGGTGTTCGTTTTTGTTTCATTTTCTTACTGTTTGATTCTTTGAACCATCGCAGTTAGTGATTGGAACTTTTCGTTTGACTGGGTGCCTATTTCCTTCCTCTGTACATCAAAGAACTTTTTACAGGAACCCAAATCAATAAGGTGATAATGCAGATGGCTGCATTACACTAAAAACTCCAAGAGTACTTAGAGTTATGTCCTAGAGTTGTCTAGTCTTTGTAGACCATAAAAATTGTGTATTACTGATTCCCCATTCTGTCATGGAACAAACATGTATTTATGAAGGACTTCTTTAGTCTTTTCTTCAAATTCTCTCTTGTCAAAATCTTTTACTGCAAGACCCGCCAACCAAGAAAAGCAGTTTTTGGTGGACTGTCTATCTTCAAACTGTTTCTCCTGGTGCTTAGTTTTCTCTATTCTGTGAACCTTCATCTTTTCAGTTTACCTGAAATAGTTGTGCAGACCTGCCTGTTGGCTGTCCATTTGCTTTTAAAGGAAAGGATTTTTAAATAAATCAAGGCTCCATTTCATCTTCTTACAAATACTGCCCTTTTGGTTCTTTTTCATTTCATTATTAAGTTAGTAATATTTGTATTAGTCTTAATATGTACATCTATAATAATATGCTTTTTTATGGTTTTGTTGTCCCTACTACCTCTCGAATTCTTTGGGTTGTGGGATTTAGATTCTTGTTTCTCAAGGTACGAATTAAAATCTCGTTTCCAAGGAATTCAAGATAGGGTGGGGTAGCTTAAACATAAAAATTTATGTTATAATTACAATATAATATAGGAATTTGTTAGAAATGAAATGATAATTGAGCTAACCAAAACCTTATGGTCATAGGCTATTTCTGAGCCTGTCCACCTATACGCTTGACTACTTCTATTTCTGGTGATGCTCTTACCTTTTAAGGAAAACCTTTAATTTGAAATAAATTGCTGCTCAAACTCTCGTTTTTTGCTAATGACTATTACCTACGAAAAAATATACCCTATAAAAGATATTCCAAATAAAGAAGAAAAACGAACTCTAAGCTGGGTTTATTATTTCCTGTTCTGTAACTTCTTCCTTCCTGGATATTTGATTTCACGAATAGAATATCGAATAGACCA